CCTATAAGCATCTAGACTCCAGGCCTGAATAGTGGAGCTGCCTTGCCTGTGGGCCTGCAATGACATCATGATTCCCATCCCCCCACCACCCCCTCACTAATCAATACGTGGTGTATTAGTCCATTCTCACATTGCTATAAAGAACTACCTGAGACTGAGTAATTTATAAAGAAAAGCGGTTTAATTGGCTCATGGTTCCACAGGCTGCACAGCAAGCATGGCTGGGGGGCCTCAGGAAACTTACAACCATGGCAGAAGGTGAAGGGGAAGCCAGCATGTCTTGCTATGGGGAGCAAGAGAGAGAGAGCTAAGGGGGAGTGCTATATACTTTTAAACAACCAGCTCTTGTGAGAACTCACTCACTATCAAGAAAATATCAAGGTGGAAATCCATTCCATGTTCCAATTACCTCCTACCAGGCCCCACCTCCAACACTGGGGATCACAATTCAACATGAGATTTGGGTGGAGACATAGAGCCAAGCCATGTCACATAGAATCCAGTGCCAATGGGTGATCACAATGAGCTCCTTTTCTAGAGACTTCTCCACCCTTCTACAGAGATAATCTGGCCAGGACAAAGGTAATTGGAATTTCTTGAAGGTCAATGGTCCCTAACAGTGTTTTCTTATTTACTGTTCAAGATGATCTTGGCTTCCATGCTTTCAGAGAGATAGATGCACTTAGATGACTTTCATCATTAGGGCCAGTACGAAGGCTCACTCCATGCCTCTGAGGATGTTAGACCATGTGCCCTTGAAGAAGGCTTTGCTCTCTTCATTTTTGAAGATCTTCATCCAACAATCTAGGATCCCCATGTACCTGATGTCAGCTCCTTTGTGCCAGGACTGCATCATCATCCACTTCCACATAGTGTTGAATGGTTAGGATGCCACACCAGGTCATGGCCATCACATCTGGGCAATCATCCAGTTTACCATGATGTAAGTGTTCCTGAGGTCAGGGAGTACACTTTTGGCTGTATTGTACACACTGAGGGAGGCCACCAGGTACATGATGGTGCCCAGCCTAAGACACTAAAGCTTTGATAGAGGCCCCAGATCCCATCAGACTTAGTGATCTTCCCCAGAAAATCTCCCAGGCCTTCGAGCTCCCACTTTATGCCCAATTTCCTGGCTGCCAGGTGGGTTCTGGAAAAATCCAGGGGTAGATAAGGCAGTGGGAGGAGACCTGGACTGCCTCTCCAGAGTCCAGGTTCCTGAAAAATATCTTCAGAATTGCACATGCTTGTCCACATGCCCCCCACCCCAGGAAGACCTACTTGTACTTATCCCTCAAGGCAAAGTTGAGGGCTTACGTGGGAAAGTAGCAAATAGCATTGGCCAGGTTGCCCCTCCAGAACAGCACACCCTGCTCCTTGGGTATACAGACCATGCAGTCCACGATGCTGTTTACCCACTTGTCAGGCATGATGTGTTCACTGGCACGTTGCACCTGCAGCAGCAGCTTGACCCGTTCGCCGGGGACCACAGCATCATGGAGATGGCTGCAGTGAGGCATCCGGCCAGGAAGTCCTCGGTGAAGGAGGTGACCTGATCTGTCTTGGCAGCTCAGAGGGCGGACAGTCAGAGAGTAGGCAAGGAGAGCACATGGAGGGAGCTGATGGCTCAGGTCTGCCACTTCCCAGACCAAAAGGCCATTAGCAATATTTTTAAGGATTCCTGTAGTGGAGAAGTGTGTTCATACTATCTTATCTTTCATTCCAAACTCTTGCTCCTGAGTCTTCTCTATCTGAGCTGTATGGCTCAGAAAATGACACCCATGAACTGTACACAAAGATGCAAAGGAAGTCCAAGAAATGCCTTCTAGTTCACTTTTCTCCAGAAAAAAGAAATCCCAAGTAGGTCTTTCCCACATATGCACCCTGGCTGGAGCCATGTGTCTTATGTGTAAACAACCTTACCACTGGAGCCACAAATGATGGCACCAGGGAAGCAAAGGTATGAAGGAGAGAGGGAACATTTAAGACAGCTTTGTACACACACTACTTAAGAGGTGCATTCCATATAAGCAAGAGCAAACTGACCCAATTGAATTCTCTATTTGGGGAGTTGTAAATGCTTCCCCTAATTTTATAAAATTAATGGAAACTAGATCACCATAATTGATCACCACCAACTACATTTTTGTCAAAGGCAAGATACTCTTGATAATGCTAAGTTTTCTAGTAAAATGAGTATAATATTTATGTATTTTATGTTTTATCACTTTTTCAGCATTTATTAAGGCAGTAATAAAGTAATTTTTAAGAGTCTTATTGTGACTCTATGGCTATGATGTCTTATTGTAATAAATTCCTGAAAGTAATCTTTTCCTTTATGGAATAAACTATTTGGTTCTGTTGTGTCATCTTTGTTCACTTTTTATTTTTTTAACATTTAAAATTCACAAGATTGGTCTACAGATTTCCTTTTCATTCATCCCCGTTGAGAATATTTAAATTATGCTACTTTTCTTTCTTTTTTTCTTTTTTTGAGATGGAGTCTCACTCGTGTCACCCAGGCTGGAGTGCAACAGCATGATCTCAGCTCACTGCAACCTCCACCTCCCGGGTTCAGGCAATTCTCCCGCCTCAGCCTCCCCAGTAGCTGAGATTACAGGCGTGGGCCACCATGCCCGGCCAATTTTTGTATTTTTAGTAGAGACAGGGTTTCACCATGTAGGCCAGACTGATCTCAAACTCCCAATCTCAAGTGATCCACCCGCCTCAACCTCCCAAAGTGCTGGGATTACAAGTGTGAGCCACTGCGCCCAGCAATTACACTACCTTTGAATTGGCTTTAAACTCATCAGGTTCCACATTCTAGAACCAATGCAAATGATATGAAAATGTTTCAATCCTCGTCAATTGGGGAAGAACATAATCATCTCCAGCCTAGAGTGTGGTGGGGGAGTTCTTTTTGAGATTTAATTTTTTTTCTTCAAGAAACCCATCCATTTCTTAGGGAATCTCTAATTCACTATTATAATTGTCCCTATTACTAACTTAAATTTTTAATATTCCACATATTTATCATTATATTACTGATTTAAGCTATACTTTTATATACATTTTTCTCCACTTTTAACTGATTAAAATTTCCAGAACTTTGTTTTCTAAGAACCAGTTGTTTATTTATTTATTTATTTTTTGAGACAGGGCCTCTGTCACCGAGGCTGGAGTGCAATGACTCAATCATAGCTCACTGCAGCCTCGATTTCCTGGGCTCCCACCTCAGCGTCCTGAGTAGCTAGGACTACAGGCATGGACCACCGAACTTGGCTAATTTTTTTTATTTTTTATTTTTAGTAGAGACAGGTCTTGCTATGTTGCCCAAGCAAGTCTGGAACTCTTGAGCTCAAGTGATCCTCCTGGTTTGGCCTACCAAATGCTTAGACTACAGGCATTAGCCACCATGCCTGGCTAAGAACCAGTTCTAATAATTATTTATAAATTCTACTGTTTTCTATTTTTAAACTTATTTACCTATAATTCTTTATTTGTACTTTTTTTAAATTAGTATTTCATTTAGTTTCTAGCTCCTATGTGTAATATATATGTACCGAAAATTTTAATCGTGTATTTTTCTATCTTGATCTTTATAAATGGATATTTACAAAGGTATACTAATCTGTGATTAAATCCAAATATCCCATGGACAGTTGAAAGGATATATTTCTATTTGCATAGTATTACTATAATGATATTAACTAAAATATTTAATTGTATTATTAAATTACTTCTATTTAATATAAATAATGTGCTGAAATTTGCTATTCTCTTGTCTTCTTGTACTTCCAATTTTTTTTGTTATGTTTATTTCGATGCTATTTCTTAGCACATAAAGTTTCATTACCATCAAATCTTCACTCTTAATCAGTGTTTCTCAATATGTAGTCCTTGGACCAACAGCATCAGTCTCACCTAGGAATCTGTTAGAAATCCAAATTCTCAGGCCCCTCCCCAGACTTAAGGAGTTGGAAACTCTCTGAGTGGGACCCACTAATCTGTTAAGAGGCCTCCAGGTGATTCTGATGTACACTTAGAGAACCACTGATCTGTCTCAAAACTTCTAGCAATGTAAAATGATTCTAAATGACTCAATTGATGATTACTATGACCACGCTGCTTTCTTTTTCTTTTCTGTTTTTGTAATATGTTTCTGCCTTCTAATTTCATCGTTTTTTATGTAATTTTTGTTTAGGGATATCTAGGAACATAGCAAATCATTGCATTTATTTTATGATCAAATCGGAGAATGTTTAAAACCTTTTTTAATGGAAAATTTAAACCATTTACATTTATTCTCATGCTTGTTACACTTGGTCTTTCTAAGCCATTTTATGCATTCTGTGTGTGTGCTCTTTAATATTCCCTTTCCATTCTAATTTTCTGTATAAGCCACATTTTGTTTTAATCTTCTGCAAATATTTGGAATTCTGGTAAATTGCATCTAAAACATTAAAATCTATGTTTAGTTATCAAATATACAGACTGTCATTTTTACTGTAATCTATTGGATATGTGGAGATTAGCACTGGTATTTTCTCTTGCCCTCTAGTCTTTTTCTGCCTTCCTTTATTTTGAATTCAGATTATATTCTCTTTTAAATTTATGTAATATGTATAATTTCTTTACAAATAACCTTTTGTCTTCTGTGTAACCACATCTATCACTATTACTTAAATTGTGTCTACATGTTTAATATAGTCAATGCTCACTGTACTTTAATTAATGTCTCAATAACCCTGAACAATTCATGACTAATTTGTTAAGCACTATTATGTAGGTGTATATTTTTCAAAACATTTCTCCAGACACCAAACATATCTGACAGTGTCTTCCTATCTTCTTCACATAAGAACCACAGCGTTCTCCAGGAAGTTCTATATGCATCACTACATTGTTTTCTGGCTTTTCGCATTGACAATGCTTTTTGCTCATTTGTCAGCAACCAATTTCTTTCTTCTCTGTTCAGGATGCCTGTAGAATTTGTTTCTTTTTCTTTGAAATCCAATTTTTTAAAGACTTTTTTTAAATTCAGAAATATTTTTATTGCCTTTTTCTTTGTTTATTGCCTGTACTCCATTTGTTATGGATTCTTTTTCTAGAATACCTAATTATGAAGTGAATTTCTGCTCTCTCTTGCTGGTAGTTTCTATCTTCTTTCATATTGCTTGAATATCTTTGGCCTTTTCCTCTGCATTCTGAAAACATTTAAAGTTCATTTTCTACCTGATTGATTTTCTTTTTTTTTTTTTTTTTTTTGAGACAAAGTCTCACTCTGTCACCCAGGCTGGAGTGCAGTGGCGTGATCTCGGCTCACTGCAACCTCCGCCTTCCAGGTTCAAGCAATTCTCCTGCCTCAGCTTCCCAAGTAGCTGGGACTACAGGCGCCTGCCGCCATGCCCGGCTACTTTTTTGTATTTTAGTAGAGACAAGGTTTCACCGTGTTGCCCAGGCTGATCTCGAACTCCTGAGCTCAGGCAATCCATCTGCCTCAACCTCCCAAAGCACCAGGATTACAGTCATGAGCCACCACACCCGGCCTAACTGCTTTTTTATAGTAGTGTGTCTTCACTTTCTTTATCCTTATATGGATTTTATTTTAGCTACTATACTTTTTTCATTTCTACGCATCATTTTATGTTCTTACTCCCCATCCCCACCCCCCATAACAGCCTGGTCAGTTTAATGGAAGAAAGTATCCTCTTTTTAGGAATTGATATTTTTTTAATGGTTTCATTTACTTGCACAAAATCTATTTCAGAAGAAAGTGAATTTGCTTAGTCACAGTACATTACCATGCTTCTGTTGTGCTACAGAACTTTTCCATAAACCTTATATTGATTTTTCTATACTCTCATCTTTATGAAGGAGATATATACTAGCCCAGTATTGAAACATTGCCAAGAAAGAATTGTTCTGGGACTAGTCAAAGATTGGGTGCAGGATGCCCTCCCAATTCCCTCACATTCCCAGCTTCAGATCCAAAGGAGGAAAGAGTTCCAACAGGTTATAAATGCACATATATATATATATATATATATACACACACACACACACACACACATATATTTTTTTTTTTGAGACGGAGTTTCGCTCTTGTCACCCAGGCTGTAGTGCAATGGCACGATCTCAGCTCACTGCAACCTCCACCTCCCAGGTCCAAGCAATTCTCTTGCCTCAGCCTCCCAAGTACTTGGGATTACAGGTGCCCATCACACTGGCTAATTTTTGTATTTTTGGTAGAGACAGGGTTTCCCCATGTTGACCAGGCTAGCCTTGAACTCCTGACCTGAGGTGAACCGCCCGCCTCAGCCTCCCAAAGTGTTGACATGGGCCACCGCAACTGGCTAAATGCACATATTAAATGACCTAGACAGTGGGAGAGCTACCTTCGGGAAGTGCTGAAGAGTGGAGGGGTATCTCTTAACATCTAAAGGAACCAAAGACAGAAAAAGGCCTCATGCTGTGCCCTCACTGAATATATCCCTGGCCCCACAGTATTTTAGTGGAAGAGTAAACTAAGATCCAGAGAAGTCAAGCCATCTCTCCAGTCATGCCATAGTCTGCACTTGAACCCAGATGCCCTGACCTCCACATTCAAGTCATCACATGTGACCACACCAGCTGTGCACTGCACATCCAGATAGCTCCATTTACAGCACTACAATGTAAAGGGCACCCTTAGAGTTGGGCACTGTGGCAGCCTAAATTCATGGATCTTATTTTTAAATCTCTATGGAATTTTCTCTGTTCACTTGTGGCCTCTTTATCATAATATACCCTTTTCATTTTATGAGTACATTATCTTGAATAATTCACATTCTTCATAATCCTTTTAAAGTTCCCTTATTTTCCTTAAATTGTCCCTACTTTCTCTGGGGTCAGTTCTGTTTGTTCATTCTCATTTTATGCTGCTCACTCTCTTTACGAGCCTGGTGAGCACTGGCTCTCCATTCACATTTCTGCAGGATGGTCTAGGTCAAGCTTGTTCAACCCCCACAGCCCACAGCCCGCAGGCTGCATGCAGCCCAGGATGGCTTCGAATGCGGCCCAACACAAATTCATCAACTTTCTCAAAACATTATGAGATTTTATTTTCTTGCAATTATCTTTTTTTTTTTTTAGCTCATCAGCTATTATTAGCACTAGTGTCTTTTATATGTGGCCCAAGACAATTCTTCTTCCAACGTGGCCCAGGGAAGCCAAAAGATTGGACACCCTTGATAGGTTAATCAATGCAGAAAGATGGGTTTATGTTTGCCCCTCTAGTAGGAGGAGTGAATGTGGGCTTTTTGTCTGTAGGGGAAGTGTGTTCACTAGAAGGCATCTCTTCCTGGTGTGAGAAAGCAGAGCAGGCGGGTGGCACCATCTCTGACATCCTCTGACCCCAGAGCCTATATTAAGAAGATGCTCTTATGGACTCCAACCATCCATATTGTGGGGCCTGGCCCCTTGCATACAGATTTCTGAATTACTTTAGAAAATATTGATTTCCTTTCAGCCTTAGATGGAAAGAACACTCATTAGTAGTGAGAGAGGCTTTAAAACCTGATCAAGGCAGCCATCCTAGAGACAGTTTGCTCCTTATCTCCAGGTTGGCCATTCCCCCTACTTTCCTTCTGCATTTCTCCACACCACGGACTTCTGGGAGTGGGGGAGGCTCTTCTCCTTCCGACAGAAACCTGCTCCCCATCACTCCTGCTTTCTCTAGGCAGAACTGAGCCCTGGCCCTCTCTAGTCTGGTTTGCGCATGAGCTTAAATATGATACACCTTCTGCCTTCTATATTCTAGAAACTCCTCAAAACAGCTGACCTTCTCCTATGTCACATTCATTCTCACTTTTTAATAAACTCATTTATTTACATACCTTCTTACATTGAATTCACTTATTCCTGTTGACACTTTTAAAGGTGGAAGAGGCTGAATGTGTGTGCTCAGTCTGCCATCTTGAACCAACAGCTAGGTAAAAAAATATCCAACAGTCTGAAGTCAGAGGTAAAGAGCAGCTTGGAATGTTAGAAATATTCTTTTTAGTCACTTTCTACAGTGCCTCAAAAAATGACCCTTTTTTCATTCTAAAACTAAAAATATATACATTTGTATAGTATATATTCTACATAGATTCTGTTAAAATTCTGTATTTTATATATTTTTATATGCTACAAACTCTATGAATTTTATTTTTTATTTTATTTTATTTTTGAGATGGAGTCTTACTCTGTCACCCAGGTTGGAGTGCAGTGGCACAGTCTTGGCTCACTGCAACCTCTGCCTTCCGGGTTCAAGGGATTCTTCTACCTCACCCTCCCAAGTATCTTGGATTAAAGGCTCCCGCCACTATGCCCAACTAATATTTTGTATTTTTTATTAGAGACGGGGTTTCACCATGTTGGCCACACTGGTCTCAAACTCCTAACCTCAAGTGATCTGCCCACCTCAGCCTCCCAAAGTGCTGGGATTACAAGCATAAGCCACCACGCCCAGCCCAAATTTTATAATTTTATATTTACACACATTTAAGTACATTTATAATTTATATTTTATATAAACTCTATCTAAAATTCTATATATTTTAGAGTAATATGCATTTTTTACAATGACAAAGGAATATTTTCAAAGGGTATTAATACAGTTGTTAGAACAGTGGTTTAGAACTCAGTCCCAGGAAGACCTGAGGTTTGGCAGAGGTGGCTCAAGGATAAAGAAGGAGGATGAGTGAATTAACTCCCAATGTGCCTGCCCTACTTCAGAAAAAGTTCTGCCACTTTTATCTACTTTCTATACTTGGGGTTCTGTGTAAGATTTCAGCTGGAAAATGAGTACCAGGGCCTAAAAACTGTTTGAAACATCCTGTATTAGAGGATTCATATTTGGTGTATTCCGGGTTTCTGTGATTTATAAATAAGCTTTGTTGTTTATTTAATAAACACTAAAGAGTTGGCTGCTTCTAACAATCAGAATTTATTTTATTAATTCTCTCTGAGAATGTTTGTCCTCCTTGATTGCATCACAGGTTTCTCCTGCCACCTGGTGGCAACATATGTCTATTGCAGGGGCAATTTCTAAATTTATCTGGTATCTGCTGAAGTTGCAAATACAACTCACAAGGCAACGAAGATTTGGAGACGGCTTTTTTACGTCCATTACAAGCTACAGGGCACTTCTACATCAATTATGAATTATGTCATTTGGTCTTCCCACCCTCCCTTTCAGGTGGGTATTCATATTCTCTCCCATTTTCAGGAGAGGAAAAAGTAGCTTAAAAGCTAAGTAACAAAACAAAAAAAGTTGAGTAACTTACCTCAGATGAAGGCCAGAAAGTTATGGGACTCAAACTCAGTCGCAAACTTGTAATGGTTATCAGAGACTGAAGCTTTGTGACAATCTAAAGAGGTTTAAATCCGGAGAGATCGTTGGGCTAGAGGAATAAAATTGACAGTCATCAGAATAGAGGTGATATTTGAAAGCATAGGCTGATCAAAACTTGAAGCCATAGGAAATGGTACAAATGGGTGTCAAACCAAGGTGTTGTGAGCTGGTGGCAGCAGGTGAGAGAAACATAAGTGTTTGGTTTACCAGGAAGCTCGTATGTGGCCATCTAAAATTGCAATCTGAAGAATGGAAATCTTTGTCCATTGCATGAAAACACATAGTTCAAAGAAGAAGGAAGAAAAGTAGACATAACAGCTCCACTCCACACAGTGCAGATCAAACCTGAAATTCAGTGCCCTACTTGTTATGGGAAGTGATGTAACAGCGAAAAAATAACAAAGCATGACTATTCACAGCTTCTTTCCCTGCTTATCCCTCACTCCCAAAAGGATTCTTTCTTGCCAAATTATCCAACTGTCCCTAAACATTTTTTGTGAGTAGTGGGGTAATTAATAAGGAAGATAATACAAGATGAGGAAGAAGGCATCAGGATTTAAAACACAAAGGGAGAGAACTAAGGACGCGAGGAGAAGAATGTATGCAGAAAAAGGAAAGTGGGACAGACATGAAGAGAGCCCTTACGGGCTGGGTTTAGAAAAGAGTATTTTGGAGTCTATAGTAGGAGAGAAATGAGGCTTTGGTATTCTAGTCTTGTACAGAAGATGGGTGGATGGAGAGAGAGCAAACAGAACTGGGCCCAGCCTCAGGTAGGTCATCAGGCAGAGAGGAGCAGATCACAGAAGCAAGAGATTGGAGCCTGGAGCAAGTCTCAAATCAAGGCAGATGACAAGAGGTGCAAAAAAGGACCGTAAGGCAAAACTCCTGAGAAAAAGTCCAAGACCAGCTCGATTCTGGGGCAAAATCTGTGCCATCTATGATTTACCTGCCAAAACAGAAACCAGATCCTCAGATGAATGGGTTTCTGCCAATAAATGCCTGAGAGATGGGGCCCCATCCCACTAGATCAAGGAGAAAAGGGAGAGGCTGAATAAAGCTTCCAACACATTCAGGTGCAACTGACAAAACGCTGTCCAGGGCTAAAGGCCCAGCTCTGCCATTTTCTAACTGGTAACCTTAAAAACTCCCCTGGCCTCCAAGGCTTCCACGCCATCCTCTGCACACTTAATGAGTGAAAGTAGCTGGGTGATGTTGAAGGTTCTTCCAGCTCTGACCCTCTGCCTCAGAGTCTCAAAGCATCCCAATTGGTTGCAGGAAAACTAGCTTGTCTCCTTCCCCTAGAACAGGTTGGGACTGAGCAAAGCAGATCTTCCCTTAAGGCTGCAGGTGTTGCTAAGAGGAGTCCCTCCCCAAACCCCACCCTGTCCTGCAACTTTCATCACCATGCGCTTCATGATCGCCTCCCACTTAGTTTGGAGACATAACCTCCAGCACACTCTTTCATGCACCAACCTCCAACCACATCCTATTCGTCTGAGTTCCCCTTGCTCAACTCAGGGCCTTTGCCCCTACCCGGTCCTCTGTCCACATGGAATGTCACCTGCCAGAAACTCATTCTTTATGCTTCTCAGTAGATTCTATGACAGGAAGGTGCCAGCTCCTTGCTTTCTCAGGCTGAGAGGCGACAATGTGCTAGCAGCCCTCACTCTCCGGGCCTCCTCGGCCTCGGCGTCCACTCTGGCGGCCCTTGAGGAGCCCTTCAGCCCGCCACTGCACTGTGGGAGCCCCTTCTCTGGGCTGAGGGAGGCCGGAGCTGGTTCCCTCTGCTTTTGGGGAGGTGTGGAGGGAGAGGCGCGGATGGGAAACGGGGCTGCGCGCGGCACTCACAGTCCAGCGTCAGTTCCGCCGGCCGCGGGCTCGGCAGGCCCCGCACTCGGAGCGGCAGGCCGGCGCCGCAGGCCCAGGGCAGTGAGAGGCTTAACACCCAGGCCAGCAGCTGCGGTGAGTGCGCCAGGTCCCCCAGCAGTGCCGGCCCGCCGGTGCTGCGCTCCAGTTCTCGCGGGGCCTCAGCTGCCTCCTGGCGGGGCAGGGCTCGGGATCTGCAGCCCGCCTAGTGCGAACGCCCGCCCCCCGCGGTGGGCTCCCGCGCGGCCCGAGCCTCCCGGACGAGCGCCGCCCCCTGCTCAGCGGCACTCAGTCCCATCAACCGCCCAGGGGCTGAGGAGTGCAGGCGCAGGGCGCGGGACTGGCAGGCAGCTCCGACCCCGGCCCGGTGCGGGATCCACTAGGTGAAGCCAGCTGGGCTCCTGAGTCCACTTGGGACTTGGAGAACTTTTATGTCTAGCTAAGGGATCCTAAACGCACTTTGTGCCTAGCTCAGGGTTTGTAAATACACCAATCAGCACTCTGTGTCTAGCTGAAGGTTTGTAAATGCACCAATCAGTACTCTGTATCTAGCTAACCTAGTGGGGACTTGGAAACTTTTATGTCTAGCGAGAGGACTGTAAATGCACCAATCAGCACTCTGTGTCTAGCTCAGGGATTGTAAACACACCAATCAGCACTCTGTCAAAACGGACCAATCAGCTCTCTGTAAAATGGACCAATTAGCAGGATGTGGGTAGGATCAGATAAGGGAATAAAAGCAGGTTGCCCCAGCCAGCAGTGGCAACCCACTCAGGTTCTTTTCAACACAATGGAAGCTTTGTTCTTTTGCTTTTTGCAATAAATCTTGCTGCTGCTCACTCTTTGGGTCCTTGCCACCTTTATGAGATGTAACACTCACAGCGAAGGTCTGCAGCTTCACTCCTGAGACCGGTGAGACCGCAAATCCACTGGGAAGAAGGAACAACTCCAGGTACACTGCCTTAAAGAGCTGTAACACTCACTGTGAAAGTCTGCAGCTTCACTCCCGAAGTCAGAAAGACCATGAACCCACCAGAAGGAAGAAACTGCGGACAACCTCTGAACATCTGAAGGAACAAACTCCAGACTACCATCTTTAAGAACTGTAACACTCACTGCCAGGGTCCGCAGCTTCATTCTTGAAGTCAGCTAGACCAAGAACCCACCAATTCTGCACACAAGGCTCTCATCTCTGATTCCTTAGAATCTTAGAATTCTGGAGCTGATGGGTTTAGGGTTTCAGATTATAATCTATGTGAAGGCTTAGTAAATGTTTATTAAGCTACTTATTAAATGATTTATTAATTTAAATAAGTAATAGGTACATCGATGTATAATTATAATAAATCCAAACACTTCTCACTATGTTCACGTCACCATCTTCATCTGTCACTGGATTTGTAACTGTTCTGTTGACATCTGCTTCCCTTTCCATCTTTCCTCCTATTAAAACCTAAGCTAGGGCCGGGTGCGGTGGCTCACACCTGTAATCCCAGTACTTTGGGAGGCCAAGGTGGGCAGATCATCAGGTCAGGAGTTCCAGACCATCCAACATGGTGAAACCTCATCTCTACTAAAAATACAAAAATTAGCTGGGCGTGGTGGCATGTGCCTGTAATCCCAGCTATTTGGGAGGCCGAGGCAGGAGAATTGCTTGAACCAGGGCGTCAGAGGTTGCAGTGAGATGAGATCAGGCCACTCCACTCTGTCACCAGGCTGGATGACAGAGTGAGACTCTATCTCAAAAATAAAATAAAATAAATCCTAAACTGGGCCGGACACGCTGACTCATGCCTGTAATCCCAGCACTTTGGGAGGCCGAGGCGGGTGGATCACCTGAGGTCAGGATTTCAAGACTAGCCTGGCCAACATGGTGAAATCCTATCTCTACTAAAAATACAAAAAAAAAAAAAAATCAGCCATGCGTGGTGGTGGACGCCTGTAATCCCAGCTCATCGGGAGGCTGAGGCAGGAGAATCACTTGAACCCAGAAAGTTGAGGTTGCAGTGAGCTGTGATTGTGCCATTGCACTCCAGCCTGGGCAACAAGAGTGAAATGCTGTCTAAAAAATAAAAACACACACACACCAAAGCTGTATTTATCACTTCTCTGCTCAGAGCCCTCCAGAGGAAAAGCCACAGGTTTTAGAATGGCTTACATAGTCAGCATGGTTAGGTCTCCTTGATTCTCCGATCTCTCCTACCATACTCACTCCACATCTGCCATGCTGGCCTTCTTACTGGTTCATAAATACACCCTACTTCTAACTCTTCCATGACTTTGCCTGCCTGGCTCACCCTTCACACCCTCCAATCTCTGCTCCCATGTCGCTTTCTCTGGGAGGAGTTTACTGACCACCATATTTAAGATTTGCAATACGTTCCTCCCTTGGAATTCTCTATGTGCCTCTCCTGCTTTATTTTTTCCATAGTACTTATCACTTTATGATCTATGATATAATTTACTTATTTTATTTACTTTGTGTCTCTCCTAACAAGCCCTTGAGAAAGGATTTTTGGTCTGCCTTGTTCACTGTTGTATCTCCAGTAGTTGGCACTTAATATTTGATGAATAAAATCTCTGGTTCCCAAGTGGTTTGATTCTAGCATAGTGTCTCATCCAAATAAACTAGTCCAGCAGCCAAAAATAATTTGAACCTTTTATTTTGCTCTTAAGAAACACTTAAGGAGATTACAATCATAACCCAAGTGACACTTCTTAAAATTCCCTTTCCACCCTTCAGTAATTCTTCAGTCCAGCAGCTGCTTCTTCTAAAACCTTCTTTGCCACATCTCTCCCACATGGAGACTTTCGCAGGTTCTTTACTTTTCCTTCCCCATGGGCCATTGGCCCCTGTATCCTCATCAGAAGTTACCACCAGGACTTCTGCCTCCACCACCATTGAGCGACACTAGGATACCTGGAGATACCCCCTCACTTTCTACGGAGGGAAATTAGCAGAGTCCTCTAAGAAGTGAAGTTCTCTCATGTTGAGTGCTTTTCCCAAAGTAATTGCAATAAATCTTATTTTTGACAATAGTGTTGTTCCTTTATTACAAATGCAACCTTAGGAAGCAAAAGGCCATGGACCCCGACATTTTCCCAAGGAGTCACTCTATGTGTTTGTTAGTGGAAATACTTGTACTCTTACTGCTAACTTATCTATGACGAGTTAGGTAGAGGTTAGAGACTTCCCCTTTCCTCTGAACTTTGAGAACCTTGACATTTCTGGGGAGTTTAGAGGATGGGAGTCTGGAGGAGCATTACAAGTCACTCAAGGAGAGAAACTGAGTCAAAGCCTGTCTCTCTCTTTAACACACACACACCCTGTCCCCATACCCAAGTGCTCAGCTCTCTGAGGGAGAGATCTGGCTAACTAGAGAAGCAGATTCCAAGGAGCAGCCAGGCTAGAAAGCTTTTGATGCCACGGACCCGGTCAGCTCAGCTGGTGGCCAAGACCCTGGAGTAGGAGGATAGGCAATCATCTGGAGAGAAATCCCAGGACGCCAGGACTCCGGAGCTCCTGCCCTGAAATCATAGGGAGTCATCACTAGAGGAGAA